CCCTTATTTTCTTATTTGCGTGCTTGTGTGTGTTTTGTGTAGAGGTAATTATTCCTACACTATAGAAAAATAAACAAGTTCGCTCCTGGTTACTTAACTTTCTGATGAAACAATCCAAAATATAGACGATGCGTGATTGCTGCTCTGAAAAGGAAAAGAAGCGACAGACGTTAGAGGCAGCGATTACGATAAAGAGGGAGCGCATCGGGGAAGCATATGCACCACACGAATCAGTTACTTGGCTGCCAGGGAAGCGAGGTGTAGCGCTTTCACGACGAAAGGTGCGCTGGTTGCTGAGCAGGACTTCGAAAGCACTCCCCCCAAAAGCGATCCGCCCACTAGTTTACTTGGTGATTTGGACGAGCTGCGTTGCCAGCAGCGGCACAACTGGAGCAACTCGATTGGAGCGTGGTTTGGCATGGTGCCATAAACGCGTTGCGGTGAACTCGTTCATACATCCGCTTTCTGAGCCGTTACCTGTTCATGAGTTTAACCCTTTCCGGACCGCCTGACACCCATGGGGTGTCAGGGACTTCAAGGAGTTTTTTTTCCGAAGATTCGGTTTTTCGACAAAATGTTTTATGTTGTTACATATCTATGTAACATACTCATGCCGTATGTATGAAAAAACCTAGACTTCAATCTCAAATAGTTCCTAAAATAACCAAAAAGTGGACTTCCACTTCGAGCTCAAAGAAAACAGTTATAACTCATTTGAAAACAATTCATACAAAAGAATTCATGACATCTCGTGCACGTCGTAGCTGATGCTATTGAATCCAAAAGTTTCGGACACTTTCTAGTCCCTTTTCCCCATTACAACTTATTTTGAACAATTTTCACTCCTGCCTCCTTTGTGTGGCCCTATCACTTTTATTACAGGACGGCTTTCTGTCATATTTACCACAGATATACTTTAAGACATGACAAAGACACAAACGAGACATAATATTGATTTAGTGGGAATACAGATTAAATATGATGTTTATGCTCGCTGAGTAGCGTGCGACGGTGAGCATAAAAAGGCGTCGGCCACAAGGGGATCCCGCTTTGCGTTTTCTTGACGGATTTCTCTACTTCTTAGTATACTGGCGTGCTATTGAGCACCACCATGTCTCTCCAAGCCCTTCTTGAGCCTATCATAATCGCTGCCTTTAACACATTAACGACATTGAGACGCGGTTGCGCGTCTCACCCTTGTCATCCCTTTTTCTAGCGTATGCGGGGATTCTTCCCAATTTGCTTGTCTCTATTCTATGGATTACAACATAACATAACTGTAAACGACATGGGTCACGGTATGATCAAATATGCTCCAGTTTAGCAGAAGTTTTTTAAGCACAGCGGAATTGGCAGCTCGGTTCATTCCTCGTTTTCTTCCTATTCTCATGAACATGTCAGTGAGAAAGGGTAGTGAAAGTAAATACAAACTTAAAGGGATAGAAAAATATATGTTTCACTTGACACATCCACATCGAAAATAGTTTTGGCATCCACTACAGAGAAAAGGACTGAAGGTTCCCTTTTCATTACCATTACACGTCTTTTGATCGGATTTTGCCACTACATCTCGATTATTTCTACGCATTGAATATTGCTGAAATGATTTTGTATCAGTTATGCTTTCTAGAGTTATCATCCAATATTTACGATTGCTAGGTGCAGCGGCCGCCCT